GCCTCCGGACTTCCGAACCCTCTTCTGTGCCTTGCCTCGGTTTGCGAACCAGACTCTATTTTTTTCTCTATTTCTTTTCCTGAGGGGAGGGAGAGGTCCCGTAGACCATCTCTCAGTGGCCGTAGGCTACGTTTTGTGGTCGTAGGCCATTTTGCCCATTCCGGAGCCCGATTTCCGATTTTTCGGGACCGCTTAACCATCTCTATTTGCTCTAATTTTTGGCATGCATCTTATTTTCTCCCTTTTGAGGGACACTGGGGTCTGAGAAACCCACTTCGTGGCCGAACGCCACTTTCAGTGCTTAACAGCCCATTTTCGGGACCCCGAACTGCGTGTTTTGGCCCCCGAGCATTCGTTTTGCATCGATTTTCGTTCATTTTTGGCAGGTACCTCTGTTTTATCACCAGGAAGGTCACTGGAGGGTGGGAGGCCAGCAATTATCTTAGCAACCAATTATATTCCATTTTCGCCCCCCAGCGCCCGTTTTTCTCACTCCCGAGCCAATGTTGAACACCTTGGGGCCACTTTCTTCAACCCCAAACCACATATTTGTGTTGTACACACATGGGAGGATCCTAATATCATATGGTCAGCCAGAAACTCCAATTGAACCTTTTGAACCCCTTCTAAAAATGGCTTGTCCTCTCTCCTGTTTTAGAGTTGCCAATTTTGAACCACGTGGTTGTGATGAGGAGACATGGGAGGACACCAATATGTGGTGCTTGGCCAAAAAATCACATTGCCCCTTTTGACCCCTAGCCGGCCGGCCATGGGGGGTGGCCGGCCGGCCACCTGCAGCCAAAATGCCAGGCCGGCATGCTTCTTCAGGTTGAGTACATTCCAGCTGTGCCTTGGTTTTCCCCCAAAAATATCTATATCCGGGGGACCCTTTTGGAGGGAAAAGAGGCCTCATTTCCCTCCACTTTTGCCTAGACTCTTCTCTCCCTCTCTTGCCTATATAGTTGGCCTCCCAACTCAAGAGAAAGGGTTACAAGAATTGCTTTGAAGATAAGATACATATCTCTCCATTTCCTTCAAGTTTTGGCTCCATTTCTTCATCATCATCAAGCTCTACCACCACCACTCCATTCCAGCAGCAAGGGGAGGAATTCCAGCAGCTTAGAGTCATCAAAGTTGGTCCAAGAAGCAACAAAAGCATTGGTCTTCAAGGGTAAGTCCACTTTCCCTCTTTTCTAGCTCATTTTTGCACCATTCCTCTAGCCATCTTTCTTACTGTTTTAGGCTCTGACCCTAACTGAAACTAGGCCTATTTTGAGCTATTCTACATGTTTGTTGAAGGGTTCAACCCTATTTGAGAACCCCACCTCACACTTGTTTCAATACCTCTTTGTATGTCAATATTTTGCATGCTTTTTCTAGCCTATGTGTGATCTGTTTTGGAGCCTGATGTAAACTGTAAATGGGCTTATTTTGAGCCCCTCTTCAACATTGAAGAAGGGCTCAACACTGTTTGGGACTTCCATGTTGTACTTTCTTTTATGTCCTCTTTTTGGTCCCATTTTTGTATGCCTTGGCAGCCCCTGATGTTGCTGTTTTTGGACTTTGGTCTGAACTAAAAACAGACATATTTTGACCCCCTTGTCATGTTTCATTGAGGGTCTTTGGCTGTTTGTTGAATATTTTGTATACTTTGTGTTATAGCCTCTTTTGAGCCTCATCTTGCATGACATTTTGAGTGTATTTATATACTGTTTTTGGGGCTGCCATAAACTGTAAATAGTCATATTTTTGGCCCCTCTTCAGTGTTATAGAAGAGTCTTTTTCTGTTTGGGCTTTTCATCTACCACTTGCTTCTTTGTCCATTTTTCGGTCCAATTCTTGCATAAGAGCTTAGCCATACCTATGTTCGTTTTTGGGGTTTTTACAGTTCTGAAAAATGTCATATTTTGGGCCCCTCTTCAATGTTGTTGAAGGGTCCTAACCTGTTTGGGGTCAGCAGCTGTGAATTGCTTCATTATCTCACATTTAGGGCCATTTTTGCATGCTAGTTTTGCCCTATCTTTGCTTGCTGTTTGGCCATGATTTGTACTGGTAAAATGCTAATTTTGGTGCTGCCTTGCTACTTTCTATTCATTGCATGTCCATATTGTGCATATTTGGTGTAGCTATAGGCCATTTCGGGTGCCAAAATTCATATTTCAGAACATCATCATCTGCCGCCAGCCTAGCCAGGCGCGAGTGTGGGGGTCGGGTCTGTTCTTATATTAATTTTTTAGAGAAAATTCATTTGAATTTTTTCTAAAATTCTTATCGAAATTAATTCATTTATTAAATTAATTTTACTGTCCATTTGTTACTTCTTCAGTCCAGTTTTTAATCTGTTATTTTTCAGACAGATTCATTTCAAACTGCCCCGGCAGTTACAGGTTCAAATCTGGACAGTTTTCAAACTGTCCAGCAGTTCCAGATTGTAGACAGATTCAGTTATGTAAACTGCTGTGAATCTGTTTGAATTTCAAACCATATATTTTTGAAACAAAGTGGTACCTGTTCAAATTCCTCACAGCACCTGTTCTGGTCAAATGTTTGTCTATAAATACAATCAATTTTCAGCAGTCCGAATGATCCAAAAACAGTATGAAAATCTAGTATTTGCTGTCCAGATTTCATTTATAAGGGTTCTAAGATATCTCCGATTTACTCGTAACATTGGGCTTAACTATACTAGATATCCAGCAGTACTTGAAGGATACTGTGATGCAAATTGGATATCGGATACTAAAGACTCAAAATCCACCAGTGGGTATGTCTTTACTCTTGGTGGGGCGACTATATCATGGAAATCTTCCAAACAGACTTGCATTGCTAGGTCTACTATGGAATCAGAATTCATTGCTTTAGATAAAGTAGGGGAAGAGGCAGAATGGCTTCGCCACTTCCTTGAAGATATTCCAATATAGCCAAAACCGGTGCCTGCTATATGCATACATTGCGATAGTCAATCTGCAATAGGTAGAGCACAGAGTCATATGTATAATGGTAAGTCTCGGCATATTCGTCGTCGATATAATACCGTAAGACAACTACTCTCTAATGGAATTGTTTCCATTGATTATGTGAAGTCTAAAGACAACATAGCGGATCCACTAACCAAAGGGTTAACAAGAGGGTTAGTTGAGAATTCATCGAGGGGAATGGGACTAAAGCCTATTAAATAAGAGTTACCACAACGTCAACCCAACCTAGTTGACTGGAGATCCCAAGATTTAGGTTCAAAGGGACAACCGAGTTGTGTATAACTCAGAAGAATTACTGGGCAGTCTAACTCCTACCCATTTCTATGATGAAATAGTGATGTCTGTAGCGTTTTAGATTAAGTACAATTTTAATGATTCTTATATCTAGGTAAACCTAGTCGAGTATGGCAAGATACTCTTCATAAGAATCACCTATATGTGTGTGAATTGGACCGATTCTATGAGATTTGTGAAGGGTTACAATTCTCTAGAGCACTCATGAAATAGCAGGTTGTTCAGGGCTAAAAAGAACACAATAGTGAGAACTAAACTGTGTCTAGGGATATACTGTGTGAGTTCTATTGTCTTGGTTTACACAAACGGCTGAACAGTTCAAGACATCATGTTCACTGGTTAGCTAGTAAATCCAATAGTGTCTCACAAGGGAAGGTTCAAAGCCAAAAGTTATCTATCATTTGCAGAATATTTCTAGTTTCTGTACTCTCTGTATTTAGATCATATTGTTGCATTTTCTCTCCGTCAAATTCCATTCATGTGGGGGATTGTTGAAAAAATGGTTAATATAGGAATATTTTGGGCCGACTTTGAGCCCAAAATTGAGTGGGCCCCAAACGTCTTTTGGAGTGGGTCCAAAGAGATGAAGTGTTCCTTGCCGCATGGTAAGTCACATGGGATAGACGGTTCGTCAAAACCATTTATGAGTGAATAGGAAGATGACGTCGTTTTCGGGTTCATGCAATAGAACATTTAAGTTTTAAATTTGGGTTTCCTTGTGTGGCTTGTCCCACATTGAAACTTTACGAGAGTTTATTTGTGTATATAAGCTCTAGCCTACAATACTTGGGTTAGGCCCCAAGGGGCACCCCAAGTTTGTAGAAGGGAGGAGTTATGAACAAAGTGAACCTTAGCCCAAACCACCACACGCGCGTGCCGCCGCCGCCGGCCGAGTCAGGCGCAGGTGTGGGCTATGGATGGGTTGGTTCTTGTATTAATTTTTTGGACAAAAATTCTTTTGAATTTTTTCAAAATTAATTAAGGGAAAATTTAATTAAATTCAAATTTGAATTTAATTTATGTCCTAAATTCTTTCCTTGTTCAAATTCCATATAGAATTTCGGACAAATTCATTTCAAATTGCCAGCAGTTAGTTATAACAGATTCAAACAGGCTGCGAATTTGTTTGTTTTTAAACTGCATCTGTTCAAAAACAGTTTACACATGTTCACCTCATATTGGTACCTATTCGGGTCTATATATTATAGACTTGTTCCAACAGTTTGGGATTGATAAAAACATCCAGAAAAATTATGTCAAGACAGGTTTTAATCTGTTGAAATTCGGACAGATTCAAATCTGATCTGTCCAGTTCCAAATCTGTATCTGTCCTAAAACAGTTTCATATCTGTTTGGCAGGTTACACACTTGTTGGGACAGAATTTTGTGCCTATATATACCAACATTTCCAGTAGTGTTCTATATCCGAAAATAGTTTGAAATTATTGCCTCATTGCTGTCCAGAATTTTCTACTTTTGTATTATTCTTCATATTAGATTTAAAATAAGATAAAGAAAGTATAAGAACATAAGGTTCTAGTTCGCCGTACAAATTTGTGTGGAGTGCTACTACAAGTTTGTGAAGCTCATTGTATCCTGGGAGATAGATGCCACTCAACTGTAAGCACCGTAGCGGGGCGAATCTGTCTTAAGGACAGAGTGTCACACACTCGACTTGGTCTTTGAATTTTTAATTCAGTTCGATAAATAAATTCGGTACGTTATTTATTTATTTGTTTAACTTTGTTTTAATTTATTTTATTTACACAGAAGATTGTTCCAACACATATTTCATTCGATGCTTTTTACACCTAACCATGGTCCTTCACATATGAATTTGCTAAATACATAGCAGACATATATAGCTAAGAAAGCCACATATGCAGATCCTAGATATATACTGCTGTACACAGAGACAGGAAGGTCTAATGTTCCTTCGTCATCAATGATCAAACATATTTTGGGCGCTTCACAACCACAAGGGGACACTTGACGTGCTTGGCACAATGATCGCTCACACTTCCTAAGAGTGCCCTGCAAATTTCCAAACTCGAAGGATTAATAAACTAATTATTACTTTCGATTTGATTAGTTTTGGAGCATATACAACAATCAATCATTGATATGATCAATTAGAAGCACCTCTTGAAGAAACCGTAGTCGTGGCTTCCCATGACCAACATGTCTACCCCAAGCCTTTCTACTGCTATACAGATCACATCTTTCGCATCTCCACTTCCTACTTTTTTCTCCACTTTTATCTGCAAAATTTGTATACATATCAATCAACAATTTCGGGAGAGAAATGCAAACAAAAAAGCACAATTTGAAAATAGAGAGGAAAATTTACGTTGGTGTTGAAGTCTCTGTAGACCGCTTCAGCTCTCTTCATCACTGAATTGACCAAGTTGTTGGTATATTTCTCCATGCTTGCTAGGACATCACCAGCAAAAAGATAGCCTGCAACACAAAAAATACCCTTTTAACAATGGGCTGGGCTTCCCTCCTGGAGGGTATTGTTAGACCCGTGGGGCCCATCATCGTCCCGTTTCGATAATTCAAACCGTTCAATATTTAGAACTCGTCAAGTACTATATACTTGTAGAAAATCGCATTGATCGGATATCAATAGCTATCTCATCGGATCAGATTTCTTTCAATCGTTTATTTTTTTACCGTCTATTTTTTTTATACAAAACTGATTTGATCACATACCTATCGATATCCGATCAACGTAATTGTTTACAGCATGTAGTACTCGACGAGTTTTACATATTAAACTATTCATATTATCGAAACAGAGACTCGTAGTAAACCCTACGAACCCAACAATACCATCCAGTCCGATCGAATTGGAGAGAAGCCAGCCTCTTTAACAATTGGGTAAAGCTTAGCCTGGTTACACAAGTTCGAGTCATTCCAATAATTTTTCCGCAAATAGAAGTAAGACAGTGTACATCTTGTCAAGTTTGTTGGTGTAATTTTCTCAATTGAAAGTTGAAATTAAAAAAAAAAAAAAAAGTTAAGTACTATTTTCCTAATTTAAAAATAATCAGTATTTTTTCAGTTTAAGAAAGTTAATTTTGCCTAATAAATTATAAGTACCAAATGTTTAAACCACTTCATAGGCTTAAATCCATGCTAATTTTTTATACTTTTTTGTTAAAAAAAAAAATTTAAAATTAAAAAGGGGGCTGCTGAGAGTACTGACCTGTGGCATCTAAGGAGGAGTAAACAGGAAGAGGGGGTTTAACATAGAGGAGGACAAGAGTAGTGGTGCTGCCTTTGGTGTTCTGAGAAAGAAGGTTTCTGAGGCACCATGACAGTGCATACATGCTCTCCTCACTTTCATCCACTGCTACCACTATTCCCCTCTCCTCCTCCATCATCTTCTCTTTTTCCATTACCATAAAATTATTACTAGCTCCACTTCTATATTAGTAGATAAACTCTTTTTTTCTCCGGGAAATTTTTAAGCCTCAAATGTCAAGAAACTCTTATATGAGGAGCTCTAATTAAAACATCAATGGATGGGGAGATATTTCAGTATTGATTCGGACTCCACAAAATATCACTCTCACAAGTCCACTCACTTGTGTTTGGTCCAAATAATAAAAAAAATAATAATAATAATACAAATATATTATTAGTCCATGGTGGGGTCTCACCAAAGGAGTGCCAAACATTTTGCGGAGATATTTATAGTTGCAGAAAGCTGTAATGGTTTCTAGCTTTCTGGGGAGTTTTGGTCTATTAGTTTTGTGATGTTGACTTCGAACCCACCACCATTGGGGTTGGCTACAGTGACTCGCAACTGAAATGTTGTTTTGATAGGACACTTTTTCTGTATCTTATAATTTCATTGAACAATTTTACGTGAACTAAAACTCTTCGTTTAAATAAAGAATTTATGCCTCCGTTTGGCAAGTTGGATTGGAGACTTTTTTGACTATTTTAGTCACAAAAGACAAAATAGGCTATTTTAACCACAAAAAACAAAACATCACATCCAACCCATAATCATTGAGTTTTGGTCTATTAGTTTTGTGATGTTGACTTCGAACCCACCACCATTGGGGTTGGCTACAGTGACTCGCAACTGAAATGTTGTTTTGATAGGACACTTTTTTCTGTATCTTATAATTTCATTGAACAATTTTACGTGAACTAAAACTCTTCGTTTAAATAAAGAATTTATATAAAATTTTTATATATAATGATATGATTTAATATGTAACTTTCACTTTAAAAAAAAAATACTTATAAAGATAAATTTATTTATATTATTCTTATAAAAAAATTTATATAAATTTTATATAAAAATAGATTTTTTCTTCATATTATTTTCAAGGTCGGTAGAAATCCCATGCACGCAGGATTCATAAAGATTCTTCAATAATTCTACCCAAGAAAGAAAATTATTCTATGAAAAGACGTAGTTTGGATTCAATCAAACATACACAATTTTCTTTCCTAATATTATTATTTAAGTTTAAAAATTAGACTCACTTTTTAAATTTAATAATGTAACAATTAATTAGAATAATTATGACAGCACTCTCTCTAATAATTTTTCTAATCATTAATCAATCATATAATTTATATATTATTAAACTTAAAAAATAAATTTATATATCATTTTTCTTTCTAAAATAAAAAAATATTATTCATATAATTGATGCCCCAAGAACAAAGTGAACAGATTAAAAGAAATAATGTATGCCTATTTCGGAGTCAAAATCAGTTGCTTCATACTTCGTGCCCACTTAAATGGAAAAATGATGTCGTGATTTATATTACGGGAGTTTATTCTTAATTAATCATAATTTATTTTATTAAAATTTTTACTAAATGTCTCATATGACATTTGATATAACTTTTGAAATCTTTCATATTTTTGTAAAATTATAAATTTCATTTTTTTCACTAATTATAACTCACCTGAGGTATCACATAAAACAGTTTTTTTCTGTTTTTCAGAAAATAATTTTTAAAAAATTCTATTTTTTTATTTTTCGTATTTTAATGTTTTCAATGAATTTGTTTAATATTTTAAGCAATTTTTTTTTTATTTTTAGAGACACCTACCATAAATACACTTAAAAAGTATAATATTTGTGAAAAAAATCTTCAAACAATGCACTAAATACCAAAAATTACAACCCAAAAAAAAAAGTACATTTTTCGTATTTTTGTGTATTTATTAATTTTTCAAAATATTTTTTCCAAAATTTTTTTCTATTTAGATATATTTAAATAAGGTGTATCTAAAAAAAATGGTTAAAATTTAAAAAATATTCACTAAAAATAAAAAAACACAAAAAAAAAATACTCAATTTTCAAAAAATTGAAATCAAACCCACTAGCCTCGTTTGGGAACAGGCTAATTTAGTAACTTTTTGGCTATTTGGCTAAAAAGGTAGGTAAAAAAAACTTGTATGTTTGGGATGACTTTTTGGCTAATTACGAAAAAATGTGCAAAAAGTAGAGAGAAAAGAGAATCTTTGACTTTTTGGTATGGGTTGTTAGCTTTTTGGCTAATTTAGTAACTTTTTGACTAATTGGCTAAAATAGCCTCTTGCCAAACGAGGCCTAAATTGCATCATCAAAACTTTTCTCTTCATTGGGTAACGTTGGAAATATTATTAATTTTTTATTTTCTTACAATAAAATAAAATAAATAATGCACAAATGTTTTCAAATTAAATATAAAAAAATAATAATAAGAAAACACATCTGAGGACTACCAAACTGGCCATAGTATATAATTTTGTTTTTGGTCGAACCATACGCAAGTGTCATGAACCAACATTTCGTTTTGGGTTTGGGATCCCAGAGTTTAATAACTGGTTGTTGAGCTTGGCCCACAAAGGTATCAGCCTTCGGCCTTGATTTTTAGGTGTTGTGTTGGGCTTCAACTTCGGTTAAAAATCCTTGGGGAATATCCAAATAGCTCGCACATATATATTAGTTTGGCCCAAATAAAACAGGCCCACCTGCGTGAGCTCGATTAGCAAAACCCACTTCATAGGACCCATCAAACCAAACAATACATAACTTGTAAATCTCTATGAGAAAAGCTAAAAAATTAGAAAATATTTTAGAAATTTGTCTAAAACATTGATGTGTGATCTAGATTCAATTATGTATAATGGAAGCTACCCTTAAAGCATAATATTTTTAAAATATTCCTTTTATTTTAAATTATACACTTGTGATTTTGTATCAATTTTAAATTTAAATAGTTAGATTATCACAGTAACTCAAAAAAAAAAAAAAAAAAACCTCCTTTGAGTTTGCTTGAGGGGTCGAAACCCTCTCATATTTTTTTTTCCCTTAAAAAATTAACAACAGCAACAATTTAGGAAGTATAGTCCCACCTTCCTTAAAATCTTCCACCCTCAAAATCTTTAGGTTAATTAAAGAACTCTCATCATTTTCTATCCAACATAAAAAACATAGCATTATAAATTTTAAAAATCTTGGCCTCAACTAATTTTGTAAATTACTTATCTGAACTTTTTTTAGAACATTTAGTAGAATTGTTGAGAGCATAAAATGTCTTATTTTATAAGGGATTTTTAAATTTCAACTTTGAAAATATTTTAAAAACTTTGAATCTAAGGGAGAAGATAAGAAAGATATTCAAAATGCAAAAATACAATGGTATACAGAAGAAATCCTATTCAACTCTACTCATTTACACATCAAGTAGGATTCATGATGTGCATTGTTGGATGGATAGGATAGGTATTACCTAACAACTATCAAGAGTTGAGCCACCATTAATAGGGGACCTCTATTTTGTCACCGCAATTGGATTTTGTCCGACTTGACCTTTTGCTTAGATGGTTACTATTTGGCTTAAAAATAAAATCAACGCATATAAAAATAAACATGTGCTTTGTCCAGGTCATTGGATGGTCCCAATAATGCACCGTCTAACTTGGCTCCTCGATTTGGATTCTTTCTATTTTCTCATTGAAGCATTATGCTCTTTGAAAATTCTGACAATACCAATCTAACAAGAAAATTAATACCTTCTTCAGATTGAACAATCTTTGTTTAAATTTAGCAACCTATATTGGTTGGTATTTACTGAATTAGGCGCCGATCATATTGATCCAATAATTTATTGCACGATTGAGATCATGTGAAGTTCAACTAAGTGACCCAACATACATCATCGTATTTTGGAGTATAAAAAAAATTAATGAAATTAAATCGACAGCTTAAAATTGATCAAAATTTTAAATTTTTAATATATTTTTTATGATGTACAGTTTATTTTCATTTTAAAATTTTTTATAGTGATAAACCCAATTGATTTAAATATTTATTTTAATCTTTTGAGCATTAGAAAACAAATGACCAATAATAATACACGTTTCATAATAAAAATTAAAGAGGAAAGAATTTATAGAGTAACTTTCACCATGTTTCTTCATTTATTTTCAAAATAAAATTCTACAAGTTTATTATGAAACTCTCTAAAACACCATATAAATTATTCTTTTACACTAAACCGATAAAATCAAATTATAATATACGGTTCGATTCTTAAATCAACAAAAACAAAAAGTTGGATAAATTTTTGCTCATCCCTACCGAATCAAACTTTCCCTCATTGTTTATGTTGTGTTTGATTGAGAATTTAAAAATGGATTTGAAAAAGAAAAGGAAAAAACTGTGTTAAACTGAGAGGGTAATTTATATTTAAATTGAGTCGAGCTGGGTGATGGGTCGTTCTGTGGGCCACAGTAAAAAGGGCTGAGTAAAAAAGCTTTGTAGTTAGCCCAGTCCAGAAAGAGCTTTGTAGTTAGCTTGGTCACTACGGTCTGAGTAGTAGCAGTTAGCTCGGTCATACCACTAAGGACCAGGGTATTTTGGGCTTTTACTCAGAACCTTGCTATTGAATAGCTCGGTCCAAGCACGCTGTGGATAGCGCGGTCTCAAGAAGTGAAACCGAGGTACAAGTTGTAAAAGGAAGAGCCGAGCTAGACAGAACTCGATCAATTCGGCCAGTTTAGCATAGCTGTTTTAGCTCGGTCGTTTTGTCATACGATCGAGGTATAACCATCTCACTTGGTTTAAGCAGTGAGAGGGGGTGTTGAAGGATAAGCATTATCTTGCAGGAGTGTGATCCTTAGGAGGACTCTACGTGGAGAAATAAGAGTCCTACTAGGATTGTACCACACGGAACCTATAAAAACTCACAACATCACCTATGGAGAAGTAACACAACTTTGATTCCTGAATTCACAGTGCTTTTGTGTCTATTGTCTATTGTGCTGACTTAGGCATCGGAGGGGTTTCCGGCATACACGCACCGGTTAGCTCACGTTTGTATTTTCAGGTGGCAAAGTGACGACGTAAGGAGGAACGCAAGCTTGATCAACAGGATTATACGAGAAGAATTATTTCGTGCTCATACAATTGGTGCCGTCTGTGGGAATCACAGAAAGAACAAAACCTCTTGATCAAAGTTTTCCTTGCTAGATTAGATGCAATGGCGCACAAAGAAGATTTGC